CTGTGGGACAGATCAATGAACTGATATGGTGGAAATCACTGCATTGGAAATGAGGGAATCCTACACAGGCAAAGTGTCTGAGAAAGTGTGAGCTGATAATATCTCCTGCACTGGGAGAAAGCTAAAAGAACCATTCTGCTTCCCTACCCTGAGCTATGTATCCATGTGCTACTGCCCYGCTGGAATGGACTGGCACTGGCACCTGCCTGGAAACATGGCCCTGAATGAGATGCCAGATTTCTGGGATGGGATGTAAAAATGTGCAACTTGAGCCTCTGTCAGCTGTGAGAGGGAGAAGAGCAACAGCACAGAAAGATCAGCCTGAACAGATGTCAGGCACCTAATAAAGAGCCCTTGTACTAACAGTATTCACTGGGTTTTTGTCTTGATACACAGCCTAGTTTTATCACCTACAAAAAAAGACTAGGGCAGACTAGAATCTTCACAAACCTTCAAAATGGGTCATGTTATTCATCACTGAAGAGCCTATTCCACTGTTAATTTAATCAAAACTGCTAATTAACATCTGACATTGATTTCACCTAAGAAGGAAATCAGTGTAGAAAATGGGATCTCACTGTAGAAAATGTAATCTAATTAAGAGAGTGATTTGCCAGCCACAGGCTTTGCAAGGGAAGAACAGGACAGCTTTAATGAAACAGCAGATGTACAATGAGGGGTTTAAAGCACTGCATGAGCAGAGTTTAAAACATGATTTTGTGTCGTGAAGAGCCATAGCTGTGTGGTGGCATCCAGGCTGTTCTGAGGGATTTTCAGGTGTGCCACCAACTCAGCTGAAACACTTCATCTCCCAGCCAGCTCTGCAAACACCTGATACCACAGAATCGTGGGATAAGGAAAGGATTTGGGCTGGAAGGGCCCTTRAAGCTTATCCAGTCCCAACCCACTGCCTGGGCAGCAACACCTTTCACCTGACCAGGTTACTCAGAGCTCCATATCCTTTCTGGATCAAAAGTCATTCTAAAACTTAAAAAACAAAGTCATATCCAAACTTCCTACTCTGGCAAATACCACTCAACCTCTACCATGAAAACAGCATTAGAAGCCTACATCAATTTTAAGTTCTGCATCTAAAAACCATACTGAGTAAAAAAACTTACTTGTTTTCATTCCAAGCTAAGCAAAAAGAGGTCCTTAGGAACATCRGGTGCTGCTCTTCACAAATTCCATGAAACCCCTTGACAAGCATCCAGGCTGCCAGGAAACTCTGTCAGAGGATCATTTCATGGTCAAGTGCTTTCAGAGGAAAGAGGAACAYGAAAACACCACGTTACCTTATGGCACATGTAGGATCCACCTTTCTTCACTCTGTCCGTGCCYGAGGACGGCCCTTTCTGGGGAGGGGAGGACATGGTCAGTACTCAGGGAAGAACTGCTAATTACAGGGAGTAAGGACAGGGAGAAGGAGCAGTCATAAATATTCCAGTGGTGTAACARAAGTCAGTGGTGTCTGAACCAGCTTGAAATAATTCTGCCATGCAGGATTTGCAGGTGACAGTAACTGTGCTCCCTCCCCACTGCTGCAAATATTTCACATTCCAGCTGCTGCCCACCAGTGCCTTGTTTCTGATCATACCTGATAACAGGGATGTTCCTAAAGAGGGGATTTCACCAGAGAGGAAATGAGCTCCAGCTTTCCTCAGTGAGCCCCCTGTGCCCATTTTGGTTACACTGGCACAGATCCCACTGTCCTACCCTGCAGCTGTCCCCCAGCCAGGTCTGCATTACCAGAGGTGATGTTCTAGAAGAATCTACACCAGAGGAGAATTTGTAACTGAACATAAACTCCATGGACTGGCAGAAAACCCTGAATGCTGACATTGGTACTCCAAAAGCTCCTGGACCCCCTAAGTTTGACTTTGTATAAAAATTCACCACACAAACTGCAGCAGTTTCATGTTTACTGCCAAAATTTCCACGTGTGGAAAAGAATTTGGCTATTACTGCATTTAATGGCACACAAATACTCAAGGAAACCCACACCCTGAGGCAGCATCCGCTCGGTTCCCAGCCTGGGTGCTCCTCCACAGCACAGCYTTGCTCCCACTCCAAGGCCTCTGGAAATTGTCCTCATAACAYCTGCATGTGGATGCACAGTCCCTGCTCTGAGATAAGCCACAAACCAGCACAGTCATCACCCAGCCCGGTAATCTCATTTTAAGGGAAGCCAGGAGTAAACTGACCTAAAAAAAGTTCCACCAGAACAAGACAAAGCAGAACAATGGGGYTGTGGAGCAGGATTTCCCCTAAATGCTGCAGTGCTGAGCAGCAACCTGTGCTACTGGCTCCAAAGACACTTKGATAAACTAAGAGGAACAMRCTTATTTRGGGTTAGAAAGCCAYAAATCCATCATATATCAGCAGTTAYAAAGGGATAACCTGCACTGAGCAGCATGTGAATCAAAGGCAATGATAAATGCATGAAATCTTAGCAATATCTTCCACCATGCAAAAATGGAGCATCAAAGGCTATTTGGTAACAAAAAACCTAAGTTAAATTGACCCCCACAACCTCTGAAGGGGGGCTGCAGCACTGAAACACTTCACCACCAATCTGCTGTAGTGTCCTCCATTCATCTTTTCTATTGCAAAACATCATCCATTCAAAACATTCAAAACCACTGAAGGTAAAGAGTTTATCAGAAAACAACTGGCAAAGATGTCTGGAAATCAGAAAACCAATAGACATGATCAGCATTTGCAGTGTTAATATTTGCTTATGCACATAGAAATGAAGGAACCTGCCTTGGCTGTGCTTCCCCACACTAAAAGCTAATCACAGCCCAGCAATTAAGGTCACATTTGATTAAAAGAAGCAAATCTCTGTTCTGTTAAACACTATTGTTTTATGGCCTGACCTAGAGAAGTGCAGCAGCTGGTTCTGAAGGGGAAGGACATTGGCTGTGTGGGGTAAAGGGCCAGAGCTGTCCAGACTTTGAGCCCAGATATAAAACTGAATTTACTGTACATTAGCAAGTTTAACGTGCACTATAATAGTGTAACAGCCATATTCCAGTCTGATTATATAATAACAACTGCTTATGCATTCCATTACCAAAGCTCATAAAAGTAGGGCTGTTCTTTTAAAAGTTTCTAAAATAAATCGTAGTAACTTTTTTGGTTAATGAAAAACAGTTGTATTTTTTTCACTACACCAAACAAATGCTTTCTGATSGTGCACTGGATGAGCTTCAAGGTCCTTCCAACTCAAACCATTCTGTGATTGCAGTGAGGCACCTTCATTAAAATTATTAATTAAAGTGAGACACTTTGGTGTTAATGGTGCCAGTGCATCACTGATCCCCCTGCTGGATTAAGAGGATGGTGGGGAACAAGTGTCCTGTGAATTCTGTTCTGTTAAATTCCATGAGTTTGCTGAGGTTTTAAACCCAGACACTTCAGAAAATATTTAAAAACAGGTGTTAACAATGAAGCTTTTAGGGTTTTTCAGATGCAAACTGATCCTCAGAATCCAATGTCTGAGGCAGAGCACTTCAAAGTGAATTCTGAAAGGTTTTTCTGATTAAATGGGTAAGGAAACTGAATCTCCTCGTGTGAAAAGGTGTCCCAAAATAGCCAGAGCTGCAGTTATCTTCTGAGACATTAGAACTGATTAGCAGCAGATCTATCAGAGCCCATCTCTTCAGTCTCTGCAGAGCACAAGGCAGTGTAACCTAAATATAGGATGTGCTCTCTGGGCTGAAAAGACTCTGAATTCTTCCAGAGGGTCAGAGCTCAGGCAAAGTTTTTTAACATATTTAGTTTAACACCCAAAATCTTCAAAGCAGCTTTCTAGTACTGAGAGATTTGGGGTATGCTGGTGATTGGTTACAAAGAATGTATGGAATTCTGCACACAGATTGTTGAGGGGTTTTCATAATTTATTGTCTTGCTTTCACAAATAATTACCAAGAGTAAAAATRAACTGGGACCCCTGGAAGTGCTTTGTTAGCTTTAAGCAAATAACCAACACTGCATTTGGTGGGGTTTTGAGTGACAAATTGTATGTGGCCTTACTTGTCATATTTTGTGTGAGGTCATGAGATTTACTCATCCTGGATRAGTGGGACTGSAGCAGATGGAACTGGAAACTGCAGAGACAGAGCATCAGTGACTGCACACACAGCTCACCCTGCAGGACCCTCTGCCTGCCACAAAAAACAAAGATTCACCTCTCAGAGCCTGCTGACTTCTCCTAAACCTCAGCTTTGTCACATGGTCAGTTTTAAAGGAGCTTCCAGAAGCCAGAAGGATAACTCATGATGGTTTGTTCTCTGCCTGGGAGGGGTAAAATAAGCACAGCTCGTAGCAATATAAATGAACTAAAAACCTTCCTCTTTTTAAAGAAATCATTCCATAAGTTCTTGGTTTCTGTAGTAACTTCCAGTTTGGAAGTATTCAATGGCTAACCAGGTATTAACAACCAACCAAACAACACAAAAACTGCACTAGAGCACTGTAATCAGCAGCGAGATGGAGGTCAAGGAGGGAATTGTGCACTTGAGATGATGGCAGTSTCACTTACAGGGTTGTGAGCTTCCTGTGGGGAATGGTGCACAGCCCACCAGTCAGATGTCCACTCCCAGGCATTGCCCACCATGTTGTGGAGGCCAAAGCCATTGGGGGGGAAGGCAGTGACCTGCAGGAGACAGAGAACACAGGGCACTCCTGTAACCACCCCACACAAGCAGGGCTTCAATCCTCACCCCAAGGGCTGAAGGGGCCCTTGGAGGAGCCCCAAAAGCAGACAGCACATCAGTACAGCAGAACTGGGACATTTTTACATAATTCAAACAAGGTGGAAGAAGGAACTGCTGTCACCTCTGTGTCCTTTCCCACTATGACACAGCATCTCCTCACTGGTTTTGGAGACTGGACCACCAGACACATCTGGCATGGCATCAGTGCCCTGACCCCACTCACAGCTCCCAGATTGCCCTTCCCACCAGGGTGGCTGCCAACTCCTGCCTCTGCAGACTCCTCTCCTGATGAAACTTCTGGATTTCCTTAACTACCATTAAATAATTCTTTCACATTCTCAATTGCTTTTAAAATTCCACTCTGTTTGTTAGACAAGACAGGCTCAACTTTTCCCAAAAAGGGAAGTTTAATTTTTTTTAAACTATTGTGTGATTTTTTTGAGCTCCCAAAACTATGAGGCCAGAAGAGCAGGCAGAAAGTATTTCAGCTTCTGACTACAAATTGACTGGAAAAGGGGAAAAGAGGTCAGTTTGAGAGGAACTAGAAGTTAAAATGAAAGTAATCTTTACTTTTCAATTAGCTTGTAAAAGTGTCCCTTGATAATGCTCAAGCCTGCAGTGAAATATAATGTAAGTTAAAATCTAAAATGAAAGAGCACAGAGATGGAAAACAGCCACGGTTCATCCTGCTGAGCACAGACCTTAATTTCAGGAAGATTAATATTTTTTACATGCTGGGTTGTCTTTGAGACACACTTACAGGTGCAGTCCCCTTGTASCCATCCTCTGCTGTGTTATTGGTTGGGAATTCTCCCTGCCAGATGTTGGCATAGTGCTGACCTTTGGGCTGCAGTTTGTTGCCCCACGGGAAAAGCCTGGGAAAAGACAAACAGAGCAGCTGTCCAACAGAATCTCAGACTGGTTTGGGTTGGGAGGGACCTTAAAGATCATCCAGTGCCACCCCAGCCATGGTAGGGACACCTCCCACTGTCCCAGGCTGCTCCCAGTCCCAATGTCCAGCCTGGCCTTGGGCACTCAAAGGGATCCAGGGGCAGCCACAGCTGCTCTGGGCACCCTGTGCCAGGGCCTCACCACCCTTGCAAGAAATATTTTTTTCCTAATATTCAATCTAAACCCCCCCTCCTTAAGTCTGAAGGCCATTCCCTGTGCCTTGTCCCCCCATTCCTTGTCCCCAGTCCCTCTCCAGCTCTCCTGGAGCCCCTTCAGGCCCTAGCAGGAGCTCTGAGCTCTCCCTGGAGCCTTCTCTTTTCTTCCCAGCTCTCCCAGCCTGGCTGCAGAGCACCCTGAGGGTAATAACCCCTCACAACTTGTCCTGATTTAGCAAACCCCAGGCTCAGGTACCTGTTTTCAAGGCCCCCTCGACAGCTGTACTCCCACTCAGCCTCGGTCGGTAAACGCTTCCCTGCCCACGTGCAGAAAGCCACAGCATCGTTCCAGGACACATGAAGGACAGGATGGTCCATTCTGGSAAACAAAAGGAACAGGATGAGCTCCTCAGGGCACCAGGCAGGCTCAGGGCTGCACAGCACCATGTGACATTCAGGGGCATGCAGGAATGACAGGGTCACAGTTACAGCTGGAACAGGCACCAAGTGACTTTTACAGAAAAGAAGCTGTTTAGGGAAAGGCAGCAAGATCTGGAAGGGAAATGCAGCCAGCAGAGGGGAACAGGAAGAGGAAACAATTCTGTTTGTCTCGTCTTGCCCCCTCCTCCAGCTCTACAGCTAAAGACATTCATGGTTCAGTTAAAGGTGTTTATGGTKTGTGCTTTCTCACAGGAGGCAGCAGAGAACTGTCCATCCTGGCCTTCTGTGGGAAYCTGGGAGCTCAAAAACCCAAAGGGTCAGCAGCACCACCACAGGCAAACCAGCAGAGAACTGTCCATCTGTTCCTTCTGTTCATCTGTTCCATCATGTTCCTTCTGTGGGAACCTGGGAGCTCACAAATCCAAAGGACCAGCAGCATCACCACGGCAAACCAGCCTGGCAAGGGGCAGCTCAGCCAGGATTCTCAACAGGAAAATGCACACTGCAATATGATGGTGATTGTTCCTCACTCCCCTGTGGCTGTTCTCCTGCTCTGGGTCCTTTCCTCACCATCAGCTGTGGAGTTYTGAGGGAGAGCTGACATGAGGAAGAGCCTTACCAACACCAGCTTTTGCAGCAACACCCAGTCCAGGATACTGAGTGCAGAAATTTAGCTGGGAGTGATTTTCTTTGGGTGCTTTAAGCAGTTCACACTTTACACAAGAGCTCCCATCTTGAATGGGGTTTGGYTCCAGGACTGGCATTAAAATCCTTGTCTCTTTTTCCAGAAAAAGACAGAGAAATTGCCTAGGCATTCTTGCACTTATGCAAAATCCTCCACATCAAAGCTTCCAACAAGGAAATGCTTCCAGAGCTGGGGGTACTGGTCCAGGAGATGARAACTTCCCATAAACTCTCTTTCCTGCCCCATTTAAGAAGCCAACATTTCCCTGTTAATCCAGGAGGCCACCTCCACGTGGCAGGCTCCCAGCAGCCRTGCCAGGCCAGGTTTGCACCACCCTTGCACAAGCCCAGAATTTCATGGCAGGTTTCCAGCTCCTGTCTGCTGCCTCTGACCTCGATTCCTGTCTCCCCCTAACAACGCCTCCAGCTATTATCTCTATTTTTGCCTCAGATAATTCTTTCCTTGCCCTTGGAGAACAGACAACTCGTTACCGAGCACTTCAGCCATCAGATGATGGTGCACTAACAAAGTCCTGTCCTTAGAGGACTCAAAAACATGCCAGCACCTACTAGATCTAGGCTAGGGAGTCTGAGATTATTTCAAATTGCTGTTAGAAACTTTCACGAGTTGACAAAGTGCTAACTTCACTGACACCTGCCTGGTGAGAGGAGCAGTTACAATCKAAGAGGTCTCAAATGAAGATGGTGGTTTRATTTTCTAGGCCTAAAATTCCACTYAGGGTGGAAAGCAATTGCATGAAGACAAGGATCAGCAARTCTCAGGGTTCATGTAGGTAGAGCGTGGCACTAACTATAAGAAAAAGAAGAATTTTCCAAAGCATTTAGAGGCTCTAGATAAAGTCACAGCAGATTTCCCACCAAACCATAATACAGTAAAAACCCACAAAACTCTTCRGTCTGCTGCTGCCAGAGAAAGAGGCTCCCAAATCYCACATGGAGGAGTTCACAGTGCCCAGACTCCTGCAGTGTGCACACAGGGAGGATTTATTCTTGCTCTCCAAACCAGAAGTTTCTGCCCCGTGGAAGATCTGCTGTGTTTCACAAATGTGAGCAGCAAACACTGAGACTCATTTCAGCCTGCTCCTGACAGATCTTCCTGCACTCCATCATTGACCACAACCATGGAATGCTGCACTAAACACAGCAGGAAATGGGAGAACAGTCCCAAAAGCAGCAGCAGCAAACAGRTAAGTAAATGAACCCCATTTCTGATGGGAGCTGCAGGGATATCCAGCAGCACTGTCATTTTGATGGAATGCTGCTCATGGCTCACCTGCTGGAGATGCTGGAGTCAGGGCCCTCAGGGTGCCTCCAGCTGGCCCCTTTCACAGGCAACCACCAGGGAGCAGCTGCCACCTGCAAAAGGACAAGAGCACCAGGGAAGGACACTTCAATTCCCAGCTAAGGGATTTTCTGAAAAGTCACCAGGTGACAAGGGGCTTTAATGTCCCTTCCAACCCAAACCAGCCTGGGCCTGTACCAATTTAACCTCCTGGCTGACTTCAGTTTGACATGGTCTGCAAAGAGGATAAAAAAAATACAGTTTTGGCCTAAAGAGCATTTTCACCCCAATTATTTGCTCCCTGRACTCAGTGTTTTGACACAGCTGAAACAACCCCCTATGATGCCCTTTAACTGAGGTCAAACACACATCTTGCGACACATTTGCTTTCCAGGTCATTAACCCACTAAGCTGATTTTAAATTATTTGCTCTCAGCTTCCAGAAGGTGGAGACAGAAGAACCACACAAGGGAAGTGAAGCATGAAGCCTTTTCTCTCTTTTTTTTTTTTACCCAGTTGGTTTGATGAGAAACATCATACAGCCAAAATCCTCAGTAGCAAAGCAGACATCAAACCAGAAGACACAAATTTGGTTCTTCAATGCCAAGGAGTTGTTTCYGGAAGGTTTTAAGGATTTCCTCTATTAAGCTTACTTCAAAGCAGAGAAGGTCATGCTTAGCTGTTGTGTTCTGATTCATGTTCACTTAGAAATACTTRTTTTAATAATGGGGCCTTCACTGAGGCAAAAAAAGAACATTTATGCCACCCRTCAACAGTGGGTTTATTCCAGCAGCTTCCAAAATACTCCTACTACAGAGATAATGTCTATAAAGARCAAAAATCAAAGGAAATGAGCCTGGAATGCTTTAGGAGGTAAACAACCAAGTATCTGATTAGTCCTAGACCTTCTTGGTCMAGTGTTATTCACACAGGTAGGAAAAGTGCCAAGAGTGTTATCCTTTAACTCACCAAACCTTCAGAGCAAAGTCCAGGAAGTCATTGCAAGCTGGTATTTAGGAAACCCAGAACCAGTCTGGTCAAACAATTTTACCTTCTAAGGAGGAAGCTGCATCCTTCAACAGGAAGAGTATTTAACATTCAATGATACGTGTGTGGAGAAAAGATGATCTGTGTCACACATCAATTGTTATGCAAACTCTGRTCCAAACTACACATCAGATCCCTCACTTGGATGTTTCAGGAGATCCAACAGAAGTGCCCAAACCCACTTTATCCTGGGGGATATCCAACTCCCCTGACAGCCTTCCCCTGTTCCCCTCTCAGCACACACAGATTCTGCCTACAGCACATCTGGGCATCTAAAAGCTCAATATAAAGCATCAGCAATCCTGGACTGAAGCTGCAGAGCTGTTTCAGCTCAGCTGCAGAGCCCAGAGCTTTTGGGAGGCCTGGGGAAAGGCTCTGCAATCCCTGAAGGGGCTGCAGGGCTCCTCCAGGCTGGGTTTGGGCACTCTCCCTTCCAAGGAGAACATCTKAGTGTTAAGCACCAAAGAAACAAAGATGCTCCCAGCAGCCTGCTGCTGACCCAGACCTGCTGTCCCCCTCAGAGGGACCCCCAGGCACACAACTAAAGCAATGAGAGTTTTTACAGATCCTTTCTGACCTCCCCAGCATGACAAGCACATAAATCAACAACGCCAACCCCAATTCTGACTCAGGGTCTAACAAAGCCCAGGTTATTCTCACCACAGCAGAGCCACCACTCTTTGCAAAAAGCACAAGAAATGTTTGGTCTCTTACCAGGAACTACAGCTCTGTTACTGAGCATTCAAACCCCAAAGTGGGACCTTCCTTCAGATAYTCTGCTCAACTCTCACAGCTCTAAAGCTTCAGAGTGACTGAGCTGCTAAACTGAYACTACAGTCAAGAGGTTTAAAACTAGTCTGATTTAACCAATTCCTTGCCCATATTGAGGTTTGACCTTTAAGCTATATTGAAAATAGAACAGAAATCCAAAATTAGCATGTTAAAGCTATTTAAGGAAAATAAAAGAGCAGCAGAATTATTTGCTAAAGGTAAAATCTGAAAGATCACCAGAAAGATTCCGACAGTTTCGAAGCACAACATATTTTTGTAAATGAAACTGCTGGGTTTTGGATAAAAACATCTCYGCGGGAGACTGCAATGATTTACACTTTAGATTACTTTAATTTTGGAAAACATTTTTGTGATGCAMAAGAAAAAGCAGATGCTTTCAATCAGGCTGGTTTATTTTACCCCAAGAAAAATGTCGTCTCTCCACGGGAGAGCACCGCGTGTGCACAGCTCCTGGTTGTGGCTCTGMTGAGCTGAGCACCAAATGGCTGCCAGGCTCTGCACAACACCCAGAGCTCCACAGGAGCCACACACCCAGGGCTGGCACAGGAATCACGAGCAGAGACCACCGAGAGCCTGCAGCAACMAACTGGGGACTGATCTAAGGCACCCAGCTGCTCCTTCCTCAAGTTGTGCACCTGAAATCTAGTCCTCTCACAGAGCTTCTCACAAGTTTTTAAAGCTTTTAATTGCTCTAAATCTAATTAGCAGAAGAGCTAATTAGACAGAGATATTACAACATCACAGTTAATACAGCCAAGCCCTCTCTTGGCATTAATGAGCTTAGTTACTTTCATAACACTTCCCGTTCTGCTTCCCTCCGAAACATGTTCTGTGCGCTGGCAACAGATTCCTGCCGTCAAAACAGCAGCAGATGCTGCTGAAAAAATCCTGAATCAGAGGCCAGTCTCCTTCCTTTTGGGTAATTYCTGCAGCCTGTCACCTGTCCCAGTTACCCACACCTGCCCTGYCATCCTTACACAGCTGAAATTCCYTTGCACACAGGGAAAYGCTTCCCRGAGCAAAGCAGAGGCACAAAAGCTTGGTTTGGTCTGATCCAGCTGGAAACGGGGATTATCCAGCTCTCCCCTCCAGGATTAAAGTTTAAGAACTCCTTGTTCTGCTTCTCACAGACTGGGAGCACTGTGAAAAGAGAGCCCAGTGTGGTAACACCGGGAAGAGCTTGAACAATTAATTCCGACCCACGAGCTGTGCACTGGGGTGGAGCAATTTGCAGAGCTGAAGCCTCAACTCCCACTAACAGCCTGCATAGAACTCATTCTAAGTATTCCATTTTCTTYTCCAAGTGGGCTGGGACAGCCTAACTTTAATTGCTCCATTACCTCGTGATGTCAAGATTTTTAAACTACTTCACAATTACCTCGAGGAAAATTCCTTCCTTGAATCTATGCAGAAAAATAATTTAAGAGTGGGGAATATCACAGAGTGAGTTTCATTGTCAGCATTACCCTGGTACTGCAGTAGGGCAATGCCTAAAAAACATCTCAAAGCCACCCAACTCCCAGCCAACAGCCATAAAAACATTTTAGTCCTGCATTAACATGGCACTGGGCACATTCGAGAAAAACAACCCCCACTTGARGAGCAAATCTCAAATTCAAATCAGATTTATGTATTACAAAAATTACCAAAAATAAACTCAGCGGAGCAGCTCATCTTGGCTTCAACTCCAACATTTCTAAGAAGCAAGTCCCTTGAAATAACAAAGCTGCAGATTTGAACCCTAAATCAGGCCCACAAGATGATGACAAATTCATGCTGTTGTCCAGACATGTGGCACCAAACATCATCTTTTTTGTGCTCCAGCATTCTAATTTTAATGTAGCAAAGCCTTACACCAGGTCAGGAGAAACAGCTGGAACACACAAAAGTTACTGCAGTGTAAGAACTCCAGCAATTTCAGAATCTGAAAACTCTCTCTGAAAAGAGAATTTAAGTGAAAAGTAGCCCAGTGTAAAAAATACTTTAAGAATCATTAATTAAGTGGTGGGTTCATAAAAAAATACTTTAATTCAGAAGCTGACTCAATAGGTTACCACTTGTTTGAATCAGATGGTGTTAAGCTCTGCACATCTTTAATATCTGAAAGCATWTTCCTAGCATTGGTAGGACGTGAGAAAAAATTAGTTATTCAGTAAAGAACATAATTTTGGATGAGGTTTTATTTTATCCATGTAAGGCAGATACACATAAATCTCTTGTCAGTTTTTTCACCTCTAAGCCAGATCCTAAAGCCTGTGCAGCTGATTAATGAACTACTGAGGAAAGAAGCAGRCAGAAAATGGAACATTTTAAGGAGGGTGAGAAGTTTAAGAAATAAAAATGATTACTGTGCAATGGATCCACTTCATTGTCCCTGCAGAGAACAAACCTGCTGTAATTATGGACAAGRACTGATCAGTCACACACAACCAAAGTCACCATCAGCACAGTATTTGTCCAGCAGATAACTCACACCTGCATCAGGGGTTGGACTAAAGGAACTCCAGAGGTGCCTCCCAGCCCCAGCCAGCCTGGGATTCTGTGAAAACCTGATTTTGCCAGCTCCTGCAATTCCCCTGCTATTTATTCTATCAATTAAAAGTCCCAGCTCCCCCAAAGCTCTAATTACAGAAGAATCTGTTCTCACTCTTATTTTTTAATGTTACTGGCCTCCCTCATGAGCTCAGAAATGGAAGCAACAAGGGAATTTGTTTAATATTGAATATYGATATTATCTGCCTCAAATCCCAGTATTTACAGTAGTTTCAAACTGCACACAAAGGAAAAGCAGCAGCTTTAAAATATATTTATTTTTGCTTTATAAGTTCATTAGATACAGAAAATATTTCAGACTTGATTGGAAACAAGCACTTTACTTTTATGAAGGAACCTTTTCCTTTGCATAAGGAAAGGTCATTGAACTTCAGTTCAGACATTGTAAAACTTCACAGCCCTGTTTATTCTCCAAGAAAAATAACYACAAATATGTCATGCTAAAATCCAGCAAGATTCATTAAGTGCAAATTTTGGAATCAAAAGAAGCTTCTTTTGAGGAACTGATACTCCTGGTAAAGGCAGACACCTCTGGAAGTCTAGGAAGTCCAGCCAACATCTAAATCTGCACTCAAACTGGTCATTTTTTTCCAATAACCAAGGCAACACGAGCTTTAAAGAAACGAGATGTGCACGGACTTATCCCCAGCCTGAGGCACAAACCATMCCCTGCTTCACAGCTGCAGTTTGTTCTGATAAACATGGACTAGGCAATTCCAGGGAGAATTCCCGCACATCCCTCTTTATCCCAGCAGTGGGAGTAGAGCACAAAAACCCCCAGATGAACAGTTCAATAGCTCCATYTTCCCAGCTCCTTGTAGGGAAGAGCTGAAGCACTGGGGGCTGTGAGGAATAGCTCAGCCTGCCCACACTGGCACTGCTGTCCCACCTGCAACTGCACTGCTCTCAGCAGCCATCTGAAATGTTCAGCTGAACTGCAGAATGCTTCAATTTGGGGGAAACATGGGATTATGCAATAGGTGAATAGCACAGCTCCAGGCCACTGCAGAGATTTCCATACAAAYAGGGATGAAAGTAGCATCCCATAGTTCTGGATTGGCCAGAGCTTATGTTTGCTCAAGCTGCCAGTGAACCAATTCCATTGCATTCCAGCCCCAAAATTCCATACCCTTACAGACAAAGGCAGCACACACATTTGTATGCTTTCAGGCTCTGCAGTGCAGAATTTATCTGGCCTTGAAGYGAAAATTAATTTTTCTGCCTTCCACAAGCCAAGAATAACAATGTTCCCACTATTCTCCAGCATGCAAAGACTGATGCTGAACTCCTGCTCTGCCATCCTGCTTCCCTTTTCCACGGAACCTGGAGAGCAAAGAAAACTCCTGCAGTTCTTGGCAAGAGCTCTCAAATCCCCTCAGAATAAAATGGAATCCCAGAATGGTTTGGGTTGGAAGGGATCTTAAAGCCCATCAGTGCCACCCACCTTGTCCATCTCTTTTGGAGCCCCTTTAGACACTGAAGTGGCTCTAAGTTCTCTCCAGAACCTTCTCTTCTCCAGGCTACATGTGAAGAATTTAAAATGTGAAGCTCTCAAAACTTTTTAAACCCACACAAAGCTTTTCAGCTTCAAAGGACCCTCCACCCTCGCCCACAAAACCGTTTCCATTTGCAGGAGCCCTCCCCAGCTCCATCAGTAACACCCTCATCTGGTGCAGCACTAAATCCTCCCTCTCTGCCACGTGGCCACCACAAACTTGGGAGGCCAAAATGAAAACTTGAGCTCCCAGAAATCTGTAACAATTCCATCACTGGCTGCTACACCCCTTTTTACTGCTTCCCTTCCAGAGGTTGAGGCCAGCCCACATTCCTGTCAGTGGCTATCTGGGAGCCCACCTCACCTCCAGGAAAGGCACACCCAGAGCTCCAACAATCACCCTACGTGCTCAGCTGGATCACTCCTGCATCAGCTGCCACCAGCCCCAGCAGCCAATGGCTCTGAGAAATCTGCTGTAAAAACTGGAGAAGGCAAAGTGGCCAAACAGAGCAAAACCCCCACCAGACACACAGTTCATTTATTTCRTTTGCTATCTCCTCTTTCACCTTTCCCCAGTTATTTCACTGCATATGAAATACTGCCCACAAAATGTACATTCCTGGTGCTCTTCCCCTATATTCACATTTGCATTTCACATCCCCGCGCTCCCACAGGAGAAAATCCTTCTCAAAACACTCCTGAGGCAAAGGAAAACCACAGTMCCTTCTCCCATTGATTTGGCTGGAGGGATTTTCATTTTAACACACCAATATTTATATCTTATTTCTGCTTTTCATGGTGATAGTTATGATTGAAGTTTACTTTCAACAGCAAATTTACTTTTAGCAATTCCAGAAAACCTTCAGAAAGCAGCAGCCAAAAGGACCAGTTTGGGCTGCATTCCAGGTCTCTGGCATAACACTTGTCCTGTGAGCACTGCAGCCAACACTTGGAAATTTGGCTGACAYACTCAGGAAAGTGGTTCCCAACACTGTTTACAAAATAGCCAAGGCTGAGCTTACAGCAGCATTCTTGGGGTTTGTTTATTTTGAAACAGAAAACCTGATTTAGGGATTTCTGCATCACAGAACTACACAGGAGAAAGAATTTCTGAAATACTGACTGTTGAGAAGATGGGATGAACCATCCATTTTTATTTGTATTTATTATTATTTTTATTAAGGTAGAAYAAATCCATGGGTGGATTTAACATCAGTTATACTGGTGGTGGGAACTGTAATTTAGTCTTCTTATCTCTCACAGGGCACAAATGTTAGTCCTGAATTAAAAGATTACAAACTGCACTTGTAATCTTCCTTCCCTGGCAGGAGGAACCCAAATCCCACGTTCTTTGCCAGTCCCTCACAGCACTCACTCAGGGCTTCCTAAAAGCTCCCATCTCTCAGTCTGCCCCTTGAAAACAAAAATTAAACTGTGCTCATCAGAGCTGAGGATAATTCTGACAGGAGGGGACCTCAGGAGGTCACTTTGTCCAAACCTGTGCTTAGAGCAGATCAAGCAATCCAGAGACAACAGGACACAATCTGCTTATGTGTCAAGAGCTGCAAAGGGGACCTGACCTGTTAAGGTCAACGAGGAGGTAAATGAAGCCTGAGAAAGGCTCAGCAACACAGCCATAGCAGAAAAAAAAAGAGGAAAGGGAGGGCAGGGAAGATTTACTACAGAACTAACTTCCTTTTAAAAGCAATATTCACTTGCACTGCACAGGAAAATTGGATCAGCCCCAGTGCAGTCAGCACTGCCCCTCCCAGGAACACGTTGCCCAGGGGGATGAGGGGAGCTGAAAAAGCAGCAAATGAACACAGGATCTTCTACAGAGAAGGAGGAAACACCATAAACTTCAGCCACTCACAACATATAGTTGATACCAACTTTTGCTAATCAGGAATAGACATTTTTAATAGTTTTTTAAAGAAAAAGGACAGAGTACAGACTGCAAATCCTCCCTACTTTAGTCCGCAACTCCAGGTCAAACACCCCTCTGTAATCCCCATTTTGGACGTGTTTTTTGGGACATCAGACAGTTTAGTTATCCCTGCTATACGTGTTAACATAGTGCAGGGGTAGCTCAGGGAGTYTCACCCTGCTGTGTTACTCACTGCTTGGTGGATGTCAGCCTTCACTGCTTCACTCAGCATCCCCTCAAACACAAAGGAGTCACCAAACTTCTCTGCCTATGGAAAGAACAAAGGATTCAACCATTATTTCATCAAAAGAATGGTATTGTTAGAACCACACTCAACATTTACTGCTTCATTTTATCAAGGATAAGGAAACTCAGAGAATCATTAGSRYTGGARAAGACCTCCAAGTACATTGAATCCAACCTYTGACCAAACAAACTCTAACAGAGAATTTGAGTTCCCTTTCAAGGAAGCTGTTTTGGAACAGAAAAGAAGAGATTTTTTTTTTTTTGTCTGGATGTTGTTGTTATTCAGCAGCCACTAGGCAGATGGCAGCTCACTGAGCTTCTGCACGTTTTTACTTTTATTAATTAGAAATGCAGTTCTGATTGTCCCAGCTGCTTTCAAATGCTACAGTCATCAATCTAACAYGGAAGGAGATGTTTCATTCCTCTTATTTTTCCCTTGGGAATCACAATAAAAGACTTCAGCCTTGTGACTTACTGTTCYATCGTCACTATTACCATGTTTAAAGTGCTGCTACAACAGTTAAAAGTATTTCAGTCATTATATTCAGCATTACATAAAGCTGAAAGAATAAAAATATAAATAATTTCAATCAATGACAGTACATTATACCAAGAGGAAAAAAAAGGAGGAAGTGTAAGAAAGTGAGCCATGAAGTCTGAGTGAGACCCCACATGATGCAGTTCTACCTGCCAGAGCTCCAGGAGAGTTTGGACAGTGGGATTGTCCCACAGGGAGGGATTGTTGGGGTATTTGTGCAAGGCTGGGGGTTGAACTGATGGTCCTTGGGGGCCCCTTCCAGCTGAGGACATTCTGTGATTCCACATTTAAACCCCAGCACACACATGCTCATCCCAATAACTGTTTGCAACAAGCAAGCCCTGTTCCAACTCAAAATAGTTAAACAGCCTTTTTTTCGTAATTATCAAGCTAAGAAACAGAAATAGTAGACAAAAGAAGCTCTTCATCCAACCAGGAGGATCCYTCCTTCCAAATGAGAACCAGTTCATCAAGTGAATGCAGCAAAGTGCCTCCTTTGAGACCTGCTCATTACTAAGGCTTTCATTTGCCTAAAAGRGCTGTCAGGGTTTTGTCAAAGTTGCGTAGGAACAGTCAAGTGTCAGGAGGAATCTCAGCTTCAGGCACAGGTGGCTCCTTTCTGGGAAGAACCTGAACATATTCTAACTCCATTGTTCCCAGGAACATGCACACAATTATTATTGCACTTGCTATTGTCTCCTCCTTAGGCAAAGCTCTGCTCAAGCAAGGAGCTSTGCTGAGCCAGCCTGCAGAGTCCTTGGCCATCTCAGTTTGTTAAACCCCCTCTCCAAAATAAGGAAAATCTACCCTGGTTGTACTGGTACAAAGAGCCCTAGGGCCTGAAAAACCCCAAGCAAACAACCCCAAAAAAACCCTGCAGAGACCTGTTAGCATCCCCCAGGCTGCAGGACAGACATCAGTTCAGGGGTCACTTATTAAACACAACAAACAGCCCAGGACAGCAARGCCAGGCAATTCCTTGTCTCCACTACTTCCATCAGAAATACTGSAGTGTGCAAATCCCAAACAAGTTTTGTGATCCCCTTCAAAAAGTCTTGGTTTTCAATGGGGATTTTCTCAGCACAGAGCAAGATGACAGGATGTGCCTCACCTCAGTGATGTAGCCAGTGGAATTCACAAATCTCTCGAACTGCTCGTTGCTGACCTCGTACTGATCCATGTAGAAGGCGTTAATGTGGACTTTCCGGGCAGGCCCCTCTCCATCCTGCTGGATTTCAGGCTGGTGGGTGCCCATGGTGAACACCCCTCCCGGAATCGCCACCATCTGCAGAGCAAACACCACAAAAAGGTTGGGAAAGTGAAGGACTGAGAAGCCTCACACTGGTTTTTCTCCTCCAGCACCTTGTTTTTGCAGGTGTTCTTGGAACAGCATCTTGACCAGCCCATYTGGGGGAAGCAGCAAGCAGAGCTTAAAACTGGGAACAAAATCCCCAAATGCAGCTTTTMCACATCAAGTCAGGGTCATGCTTGTGCTSTCATGAGGAGAAACAAGYTTTCTRTATCTTAGTTTACTGTTATTTCTGCAGTTCCACCAGCAAGTGGGCAGTAAATAAGCTCACATCAGCTCCCCAGCACCTCTCCTGGTTTTTCAGGGCAGCTGGAGTGGTTGGCATGACCTTACACATCAAATTTCAACATTTCTTCTCCAGAGATCTCTCCTCCTGCTTGAGTCTCTCCCAGCAACACCTAAAGTTCACACAATTTGCAAGTGGCCTACAAAAAGTGCTACAAACACCTTCTCCTTTGGAGTACCCATATCTGAARCTGCTGTGTCCTCTAAATTTCTGCACTGAGAAGAACCAAAGCATTTACACACAGTCTGAAAGTGACTCCATAAAGGGCTGCAGGATAGATTTCCTTCCATTTCTTAGGACTTAGGAAATGACAGAGTGGTGCAAAGTTGCACCACTTCCTCCTTCCCAATCTTTTCAACCCAAGGTAGCTGAAACAACTCCCTGAAGAGGCTTCCAAGCCAGACTCAGAGCTCACTGGTCTAAAAAAATACGTGCAAAATAAACTCTTACTGTCTCCCCAGTTCTAAAATCATGGTGGGAATAAATACTTTTATTGGTGGGTGAGGCAGAGGCCAATTTTTCCTTTATTTCCCTGCTGGTGAAGATATTTTCTAGCTGAGCATCACCAAGTTATGTTGTGAGCATAATTCAAACCAGCAGTAATTATCTTTCAGTACCTACTGCAAGAGCTGCATAAAGAGTCAGATTCTTTTCATTCTACACAACCACAGTAAACTGCTCAATTTGTTACACAAATGTCAATCGGTGACACGGATCCCAATCACAACAGGRAYTATTYAATCCATGCTTTTTAAATATYCTCAATTTCCAAAGTGCAGCCTGCWKTACCACAGTTCCTGCTGTTCATCTTTCACCCAGCGAGTTCCCACACTGTGTGACAGTTTTTTCCAAGCTGATGCAGCTTCTCCCATTACCACAGAGCAAATAGAGAGGAAGCCCCTCATGTTTTCCTGTTCTCTCCGAAAGAGAAGGGCGACGTGGGACCAGAACAACACCCGCGCCTAACGCAGTTTCCCGGGGGCTTGGCCCATCGCTCTTTAATTTACTTTAAGTTTCTCTCCAGCATTTCCCAGCTGCTCCGTTATCCCC